AATGCAATGTGGTACCAACTCAATCATCTCAAGTTCACTCAAGAACTTATTGGAACCATCGCTCGTTACCAATGTAACTTCCTGTCGGGCCTACGATATTCACCCATTGCTCACACCTCACATAGGCGCACAATGTTTATGGATTTCTCACACCTCACCTAGGCACACAATCGTTTGTAATCATCGCTCACACCTCACACAGGCACACGACGTTACAACAGATTCTCATTAGAATCACACAACACAAGAATGTACGCCATTATGCTTCACATACAAAATGACTCAAGACACTCTTGAAATGCATACATATTCACAATATATTCATGCATTCATCTCATACTATCACATACAATCTATATACATTCACATCAATCACGCCAAACGGCAACGAACATCGCTTTACCACCTAAACGGCAACGAACTCTTTCACAACTAACATACATTTACATTTAATTTAAACAATGCATTTATTTTCCAAAAGGCCACAATTCACAATAAATTCCACCATCTAGGATTCACTCCATAAGGCTACCCACAATACATCATATAACAACACGCACAAGCTATACGTTATATAACAAAAGCATACTGCACGATAACACATCAATCACACATTCGCGACGGTAAAAATCAACACAACGATACGTTTTCAATTTTCTTTTATAATTGAACCAGGTACATACCTCAAAATCATTTTTTCTAGAAATAGCATCTCATTAACTTTCCAATGCTTTGAACGGGGGTCAAAACCAACTTACGGTTCAAGAGTTATGAATTTTCGAAGTTTTTCCAAAACATAATTTTTCTGCATAAAGACTGCTACGGGTTTGAGCATTTTCCCCTGAAAATCCGAAAGATTCAATTATTTTCTTCGAAAAAACACATACTCATTCATACCAAACATATAGTAGTGATTTAGAACCATCAAACGTGAAATCTACGACTTTCGATTTCAATCCGAATCTTAAACCCTCAAATCTTCAAAAATGCAAAAACTTACAAAATCAACCAAATTCGATAAACACAAGTATACTCGATCACGACCTAACATTACCCGACACAACTACGTAATCTATTCTGACTTTCGTCCGTAAAAACATCAATTCCTCACAAAAATCTCAATTTCAACCTAGAACTCAAGCTATGAAAAACAAGAAAACATCCAAGCAAACACATACATAATGATATACATCGATGAGATAATAAGATTTCACACCCTTACCCGATTAAATCGATTCCTATAAGTTGTTTTGAAGATTTTCAAGCTTTTCCTCTTTTTCTTCTCTTTTCTCTTCTTCCTCTTTCTTTCTCTCCTTTTTCTCTCTATTTCTCTTTTCTTTCTATTTCTCTCTTATTTCTTCTTCTTATCTTTTTTTTTTACACAAATTTAATTAATTCATTTTCTCACATCATTCTACACTTAATCACTTTTCTATCAATTTTACTAAATTTTTCACATAATTCTATTTCCACTAAATTTCTAACTTATCATTAAATGAGAAATGTCTAAAATACCCTTCATTCTAATTTCCCCGAAAACTCTCAAAAACGGTAAAATATCATAACATGTCAACATATCATATTAACACACCAATTTCACAAATAAAATAATTATCACTCAATTTAAATAAAAGACTCAACAAAATGGTAATAATCGAAATCGGGGCGTTACACTTGCAACCTTGCAAGAATGTGTCTTATTCGTCGAGGTCTACTTGGGCCTGCTTCATCTTTTACTTGTTCCTGTCGAACTTCTCTTTTGACTTCAGTGGCTGGTTCTTCACAAGAGATTCTCATTGAATCCTTCTTGACATTCTCAGTCCAATCTCATTTTTAAAATCATCTATGATCACGTCCCTGCTGATCACTATCTGCTTATTCACTAGGTCGAACAGCTTGTAACCTCCAGTCGAATGATACCCTATCAAGATCATCTGATTCGACTTGTCATCAAGCTTCCTTCTCAACTGATCTGACACATGTCTATGTGCTATAGATCCAAACACCTTCAAGTAACTGAGGCTAGGCTTGACACCAGACCAACATTCTTCTAGTGTGATTCTTCAAGCTTATTCATCGAACATCTGTTTAATATGTATGTTGTTGTCGAAACTGCTTCTCCCCATACTTCTTTGGATAGATGCTTTCCATTCAACATACTTCTCACCATGTTCATGATGGTTTTGTTCTTTCTTTCTGCAATTCAATTTTGCTGTGAAGTGTAAGGTGACACCACCTCATGCACAATCCCTTCTTTTTCACATAATGCATCGAAATCTTTCGTCACATACTCTCCACCACCATCAGCCCTCAAAAATTTCAGCTTTCGACCATTATATCTTTCGAACATAGATTTGAATCTGGAAAATACCTCGATCACATCACTTTTCTTCTTGATGAGGTAAGTCCACAACTTTCAACTGTAATCATCTATGAAGTTGACAAAGTATATGTTGCCTGCAATCGAATCCACCTGGATTGGAACATATATATCAAAGTATATGACTTTCAGAATTGGCTTCGACTTCCTTTATGCATCCTTGTCGAAGCTATTCTTGTGTTGTTTCGAATGAACACGTTATTCACAGACTTCACTTGGAATGTCGATTTCAGGTAATCTTGAAGTCATATTTCTTCTTTTTAGCTCTTTGATGTCATTGAAGTTGAGATGACCTAGTTAAAAATGCCATAACCATTCATCTATGTCGGCTGCAGTTGCTAGGCACTTGTGCTCCATCACATTGAGTTCAATCTTGAAGGTCATATTCTAAGACATTGGAGCCTTCAAGATTAACCTACCACCTGCGTCGAGAACTCTTATCATCTTATCTTTGATCGACACCTTGTAGTTCTTTTCGACTAGCTACCATATACTGAGCAAATTTCTCTTCATGCTTGGTATGTACAACACATTGGAAATTGTTGACTTCTTGCCATCTTTCCTGATAACCAGAACATCACCAATACCTTTAGCTGCTAGAGTATTGTCATTTGTAAATTTCACCATGTTCTTCGTCGAGGGCTTCATGTTGACAAACCAATCTTTTCTTCCAATCATATGTGATGAGCATCCTGAGTCCAAGTACCACTGGTCCTGTAATCTCTCTTTGTCTCTTTTTGTGACCATTAGTAACATCTCTTCTTCTTCTTCTTCTTCATGTTTTGCCAGCTTTGCATCAGTTTCTTGATTCTTCTTCTTTTCTGGACAACCACTAGAATAATAACCATACTTCTGACAATTGAAACACTGAATGTGACTTTTGTCAAGATTTTGACCACCACCTCTTCTTCTGCCTGCAACACCACCTCTTTGGTTGCCTTGGTTCCAGGGTTTTCTATGATTCGACCAGTTTCCTTCATGTTGATTTCGACCAGTCAAATTTTTGTAGCCTTTTCTACCTTTGTTGTCATTCCAGCTGCCTTTGTCTTTCTTTTCTTTTTCTGACTGCGCCTGCAAAGCCATATCACTCTTCGACTTTCCTACAGCTCTTTCAGCCATCCTTTATTCATGAGACTCAAGCGTTCCCTAAAGCTCTTCCTTCGTTAATACTAATAAGTCTTTCCGACTCTTCTATGGCTACTACCACGTGGTCGAATTTTGGAGCCAATGACCTCAAGATCTTTGACACAACTGATCTTGATGTCAACACTTCTCCACATGCCTTGATTTGATTCACCATCTTTGTAACTCTGGTTAAGAAATTTGTTATACTTTCATTGTCTTCCATCTGAAGTAATTCATAAGTTCTTCTGTGAGCTTGTAACCCCACCTCTTTCAAGAATCTCCCAAATTTATTTTGCTGATTCTACATCACTAACCTTTTCAAAGTTATCTGGATCAACATATTGATGGATTATAAAGAGAGCTTTATAATCTTTCTTCTTCAATTCTTTATATGCTGCTTTCTCCTGATCTGTCACAGTTTCTACAAGCGATGATAATCCCTCCTTCACAAGATCCCAAAGATCTTGGTAACAAAAAAACCACCTTAATCTTCTTGCACCAATTCTCATAATTATCTTTCTTGAGAATTGGAAGATTTGCTGGAAAGTGACTGTTCGGGTGATTCATCGTCATCACAATTGTTCTTCCCTTGAATCAAAATCGGGGCTCTAGATACTAGATGTTAGAATTTAACCACGATCTATGGTGAATTCTTCTCAATCTTGATCTCAAGATTGTTATGTAATGACAATAAACAAAAACAAGATCACGTTTAAAGAAGATGAGTTTGAACTACAGAGTAACTATCTGCCCACAACTGTGAAATTTTATTATCACTTCACAACTGCAAAACCGTGATTATCAAACTTGATTATTACAATGATAAGAGTTCCTCCCTATTTATAGATTTAGGTTATCTTGTATCTCAAACTATAAAAGACCAAAAATATTTAATCTAATCTTTCTAAATCAAATGTAATCTTTCTAAATAAAATCTAACATTTCTAAAACAATGAATTATATATTTAACAATATGGAGATATGTTTTGGGTAAGAAGTGGTTTGGTTAATGATGTGATATACGGTTGTTTAATCGATTTGGAAATTTTTGAATGATATTGAATTTTTTTTTATTGATGGTGATTTTTTGAGTCAACTTCTAATTTGTACTAGCTTGGAGCGGTTTTTTTCCCTCTATTTGTGTATTGTTTATTAAGAAGATTGGTGGCGAACTACAATACCTCAATTGTTTTCCATTTTTTTTTACATACACCATTATTTATGTAAAAAATTCATAATTTTGTTATTTCCCCTCAATTGTTAGGCTTTGTTTTGTTAGTCATTTTTTGAGCTTATAGTTTATAATTTATAATTTAAAAGTTGATATGATAATTAAAGATCTGTTTAATAACAATCTTTTCATTGCGAATTTATAGTTTATTTTATTAAATTATAATTTTTTTTTTTTTTTAATCAAGAAATTTGACATTAACTCAAAAAAACAGTACAAAACAAGACGATCAGAGGATCCAGCCAACAAACAAACAAAACTAATTTAAGGTAAAATCAACCTAGCTATATGTGGTCTAAGCTTAGGACTAGTCCACCCTCTATACATTATGTTGTTTATAATTCTATCTAGGCACTTCCTTTTATCAGTTCTTTGATTAAAACATGATTCATTTCTAGAAAGCCAGATCTCATGAAGAGTTTCTGTAAGGGCAAGCCTAAACAGATTAGATTTCCAGCCTTTCCCACCATAATTTCTTAGAACCCATTGCATTTCCTCTTTCCATCTTTTTGGACTGTGTTGAATACCCATCCACTGAAGAATACCAATCCAGATTTGCTTCAATTCCAAACAACAAAAAAAATAAGTGATCAATGGTTTCCTCTTCATTGCAAAAAACACACTTGTTATTATTGAGCATTCCAAATCTGAAAAGTCTAGACTTGGTAGCTAACTTGTCATGGCAGATCATCCAAAGGGTAATAATTGCACGGGGTCTAGCTCTATTGTGAAGAATTAATTTGGCTCATGCAACATTAGGAGTAATAGGTAGAAGGCTTTGATACACTTTTCTCCCATGGAATTTACCTGTCTGCAGCATATCATTCCATGTACTTTGTATAGTCACTAGATTGTCCCTTTGTATTAGAATTGCTTTGAAAATTTCAGAGTCCGATCCCTTAACAATTCTAATCAGAATACCTTCATGTCTTAACTAATAAGCATGTATCCAGCGAACCCATAAATCATCAGATTTTGCATAGATATTCCAAAGAAGTTTTATCATAAGCATACTATTCCAAATTTCCAAATTCATCACATTTAGTCCACCTTTCACATGTGGTTTACAAACATTATCCCACGCTACTGGACTTTTCCTACTGATAATATTACCATTTTTCCAGAGAAAAGACCGACAGATTGCATTGATCTTGTTGATCACAATTTTTGGAAACCAAATACATTGCATCCAATAGGTTGTGATGGCATAGAGCACACTCTTGATGAGTTGCAGCCTACCTGCATAACTCAGCAATCTAGAACTCCAGTGAGTTATCCTACTTAATAACCTGTCCAATAACGGCATGTAATGGATAACAACAAGACGCTTACTAGTCACCTGAATACCAAGGTATCTAAAGGGGAAAGACCCTTCTTTGTAGGAGGTTAGCTGGAGGATGGCACATTTGACATTTTCGGGAACATTACCAAAATACACCCCTACTCTTAGAAGGGTTTATTTTCAAACCTGTAGAATCCAGAAACTTGTTCAAAGTTAATTGTAGAATATCCATGGACACATGATCGCCTCTAGAGAACAGCAAGAGGTCATCAGCAAAGGTTAAGTGGGTGATTTGCAGCCTTTCACATTTAACATGGTGGTTGAAATCAGGATTCTTTTGCATTCTGAAAAGTAATCTGCTGAGATATTCCATAATTATTACAAACAGGAGAGGGGATAAGGGGTCCCCTTGCCTAATACCTCTTCTAGCATTGATCTTATCAGTATACTTGCCATTGATATTAAATCTATAAGAAACTGTAGTCACAGTGGTCATAATCCAATCAACAAATTTCTTAGGTAATCCTACTTCACTAAGAATATTTTCAAGAGCACCCCAATCAACCATGTCATAAGCTTTTTGGAGATCTAATTGTACCATGCATCTAGGAGTACCAGTATTCCTATTATAACCTTTTAAAAGTTCCATAGCTAGTAAGATGTGAGAATGAATTTTCTGACCTGGAACAAAAGGCTGCCTGCGCTTTACTGATGATGTTACCCAACACCTTCCCAAGTCTAGTTGTGAGGATTATAATTTATTTTTCAAACAGTGTTTTAAATAGCATTTTAACTTATAGCTTCTATTTTTTCCTCCCACTTTTTTCTTTATTGTCTTAACAAAAATCCATCACAATCCTTTATAATTTATTTTCATTTAAAATTAAACAATTAAATATAAAATATTTTTTATGCCATTTTAATTTATTAATGGATTAATACAATTTTTAACCCTACTATTTAAGACAAATTCCAAAAAAGACCCTCTAAAAATACAGAGATTCCATTATTGCCATTTAAAAAATTCCTTCATTATGTTATATCCATGACAAGCTACTTGCAAGAACGCCGCCTTATCACTTGACTATTTATTTCTTTTATATATATATATATATATATATATATATATATATATATATATATATATATATATATATATATATATATATATATATATATATATATATATATATATATATATATATATATATATATATATATATATATATATATATATATATATATATGAGAAATACTAAGAACATTCTCTCTAATATTATTTTTTTATTAATTAAAATATATGTGGGTCATACCGTTTTATACGGGATCTATTTATAAAATGAGGAACCCACATATGTTACGACCAATAAAAAAAAAGTTAGTGTTGTTAACACTCATATATATATATATATATATATATATATATATATATATATATATATATATATATATATATATATATATATATATATATATATATATATATATATATATATATATATATATATATATATATATATATATATATATATATATATATATATATATATATATATATATATATATATATATATATATATATATATATATATATATATATATATATATATATATATATATATATATATATATATATATATATATATATATATATATATATATATATATATATATTATTGTGACATTATATACATTTCAAATATATATTACTCTAACATTATATATATATATATATATATATATATATATATATATATATATATATATATATATATATATATATTTCAACTAAATTATTAATAATGTCTTAATAAACTAAATTAAGTTTACCGTTTTAACTAACCTAATATTAATATAAATTTAATTAAATATTTTTTAATGTTTTAATGTTTTAATTAAATTAAGATTAATAAAAAACTAAACTAAACTAATATTAAGGTTTTAATATTTTATAATATTAATATTTTATTGTTAACTATTTAATTTTAGCATTTTTATAATATTAACATTTTTATTTCTATTAAAAAATTAAAAAACTTATTTAACTAAATATTAAATTGAATATTAAAACATTAAAATGATAATACATATTTAATATTATTACATTCGATTTCTGTTTATAATATAATATTTTAATTAAACTGAAATTAAATATATAAACGTTTGTATAAAATAATGACTTTTGTATTACATAATAACATTTTAAATATTACAAATATTACAACATTCCAGTTTATAATACTATTAAATACTACAAAATTTAAAAAATATATAGTAAACTGAAATAAATAAATAAATAACATTTTATTAATATTAATTTAGTTTAGTTTCAGTTTTATTAATATTAATAACTGTTCTGGCCTGGGCCCAGCCTCGCGGTCCAGCCCAATAGCGCACAAGGCTCAATGAGTGGAGTAGCCTGACCGGGCACACACCCTCTCACATGACGGGCGGGACATGCTCCCCGTCAAGCAGGATGACGCGCTTCTAAGCGTCCTCGGCGTTCCCCCTCGCCGGACAGAACATCCCTCCACGGGCAGAATCTCCCGTCAACGAGCAGGACGATGTATCTCCCCCGCTCTCGTATGCTCCCCTCTGCGGGGAGAACAACACACCTCCGGGAAACCTCGCGAGCTCCCCTCCGCGGGCAGAACAATGTGTCCCTCACACGTTCTCCACGTGTTCCCCTCCGCGGGGACACGTCACCTAACCAACTGCCCACCTCCGAAAGAGCAGGTCAAACCCACTTTTCGGAGATCACGGGACAGTTGGACTCCCCTCCGCGGGGAGAACGACACACCTTCGGGGAACCTCGCGAGCTCCCCTCCGCGGGCAGAACAACGTGTCCCTCACACGTTCTCCACGTGCTCCCCTCCGCGGGGACACGTCACCTAACCAACTGTCCACCTCCGAAAGAGCAGGTCAAGCCCACTTTCCGGAGATCACGGGACAGTTGGACTAGGGCGAAGACCACGTTCTGGTCTTCACTACGCCACGTAAGCCCTAACAGTCACCTGGGTTGGGCCTGTCAATCCAGCCCAACACAAGTGACCGTTGGCCCAGCGCTGGGGTCTCTCTATAAATACCCTCTTCCACAAGAGGGTCAGGTAATTGACATCTTGCCCTTTCTGTATTTTGCTCTCACTCTGCCCAATCCCTTACTTTGGCATCGGAGTGTCTTGCAGGTACACCCTCCTTCTCCTCCTCATCACCGATGAACAGGTAGCAGTCCAACAGCGTGTGGCCAGCCCGTGATCCCCATCTGATCAGGTCAGATCAATAACGTTTTATTAATATTAATATTAAAACGTTAATTTATATCTAAAACGTTTTAGTTTAGTTTAGTTTAGTTTCAAATTTATAAATAAATAGTGTTTTATTAATATTAATCTATAATATAAAAAATTTAATGGTTGTGGAATACACATTTTTAACCTTTGATTAATTGGTGACAACTCACTTAATTAAGGGTAAATTGTGTCTACTTGTAACTAATTACAACTAAATTGTGGGCTAATTGAAATAAAATCATGTCAATGTATTTGATTATACCACTTTGTGTCTAATATGTAATTGGAAAATGATACCACCGAACCAAAACATGACTAAGTTTGCTTTTGGTGAACACTTTCCAATGCTTGGAGAGCCTCAGACTTGACATCCAACACAGTTGTAGTTCCTAACACCACCAAACATTAATGATCTTCATATTAGGGGTGTTTGTGGTTCGGTTTGAATTGATTTTGAAGTAAAATGTCATCCGATCCAAAGATAAATTCACTTGCGGTTTGGTTCGATTTTAGATGATTGGTTAAAAAAATCCTATCTGATCCGATCCAATTTCTTGCGGTTTGATTTGGATCGGTTTTTTGGATATCCAAATTACAAATTATAATTTTATTAATATTGTAAAAACACTAATAAATAATAAATTTGATATAATATATAACATATATTATATTAAAAGTTAATACTACAAAGTAATAATGATCGATTATGATTGAAATAAATGAAATAATAAAAATTAGTAGATTAAATAAAACTAATAAATAGTATTTTATATAAAAAAGTGTCATCTAATAATAAATTAACACAACTTATTATACTAATAAAAAATAAATAAGTATAAAAATATATACATGCGGTTTGGTTTGGTTTGGATAGGTTTTGCAAAATCAATTCGAAATTCGATCCGATCCGAGCAGTTTTTATAAAATGACATCCAAACACATCCAATAATTTTAGGTTTTTTTGCGGTTTTCGGTTTTTTTTGGATCGGTTTGCAGTTTTTATTTGGATTGGTTTGAATTTGAACACCCCTACTTCA